TTTTTTCTGCAAACCTGGTGTTTATAAACAAAGGGACAGCTGCTGACCACAATGCCTTCTGCAGATGTCCTCTGCACAAAGCTCTCCAATGCTACAAATATGGTGAGGGTTTCTGCTTAATTATGGTAAGGTATTATGGGAAGGGGGATCTCTGGACTGCTTCAGAGGGACTTCAGTCTTTCCTGGACCATCAACGGGTTTCTGCCTGGTGCAGGGGTCTTGCCCACCACAGAACCCTGTCCTGGGCTGATGGACCCATCTGAAGGCAACTGGAGTGTGGCCACTACACTCTTCCCACAAACATCACCCCCTTGCAACTATGTACCCCCAGCAAGGAGCAGAAGCTCCCAGTGACCAACAGACACAGACACAGAAGGCCATGTGCTTACACAGGGGACAGGGGACAGGGCTGGGATGCCATTCTTGTTTCCAAGCTACTCGGAGAATCTGGCCAAGACTAGATTCCAGCTGAATGGCTCACCCTTGGCCTACAACTCATTTTCTCTGAAGAGCTCTGCCCTTGATGACTCTGTTGGACGAACATCTCCATCTCAGGCTTCTCCTCTAGGGAGCCCAATGCCACATACTGATGTGGGTGGGGAGGGGAATTCTTCCCTTAATAAGGCTTAATTTGAATATGTGGGCATGTGCTGCCTAAGAATGGTGACATGCTGTCAGAAATGTATCCTTGGTTGATTTCGTCCTTGTATGAGTGTCCTGCAGTGTGTGGGTAATATCGTCTCAGGGAACCATCATCACACACGTGTTGACATTAATCAGAACACCATTCTGCAGTGACTGATGGGGCCATCATTTCAGGTGCCCAGAGGCCCTGTGGCCATGTGGGAGGCAGAGTGTCCATACCACCTGCAGATTTAGGATGATAGGTTCCCTGGCTCCAAGCGCATCCCACAAAGGTCTTTAATGTCCGCAAGGTCAATAATGGCCAGCCAGAGAGAACTCACTGGACAATTGAATTTCCAGTCATAAGAAAGGGGGCAAACTTGTTTTGACGTTCCCTGAGGCAGATCAAAGGAAATATTAGTGACCATCACTGAGGTTCTGCTCCTGGCCAAATCTTTTCCAATTAGAGAAAATGAAATCTCTGCTCTGTGGTGAACCAAAACAGAACCGGGGTCCCTAATGGGTCCCTTGAAAAGGCAGCAGAGAATCAATTACATTGGTAGAGCCATTTCAGAGGCTATGATTTACTCTGTCACAGCAAGAGCCATAAAAACTGTCATACGTTGGATCCAGAAATCTGCACGGTTTGCATGTGGAAGATGTTTGTGGCAACATTATGGGTAAGAGCATGGACCAGAAGCAACTAATTACAGCACGTCAGGGACTGACTCAGAGGCCATGGAGCCTTCTTAAGATGAAGATAAACTGTCCTTCCAAAATATGTCACCAAAGAGTAATTGATAACCCACACATCTTAATGGCCTATTACTAAGTTACAAAGG